GAACAACACCCTTGGCTCCTCCCCACTGCTGACGTCCGGATCACACTACCATGTCTCCTCCCCACTGCTGACGTCCGGATCACACTCCCTTGTCTCCTCCCCACTAGTCTAAGGCTCAGGCGCCTCCTGGTGGCCAACCAGCCTTTCCGCACCCTGCTCGGAGTCGGAACCCTGTCCAGGGTCCTCCACATACTCCAAAGCCGACTCATAGGGCCCCTCGCTGTCAGGAGTCTGGTGGCAGCTCCAACGGCTCCTGCTGGGCCACAACAGTTCCTGTAGTCTGCAATTTTTCCCTCTGGATTCTACTCCAATGTCCTATACCATTCCAAGGGTCTTCATCCCAAATTGCATAGCTAAAAGTCCCAATCTTCCAAAGCTGCTTTTTCAGGAGGCAACTGGACTTTCTTGATTTTTTTTTCTTTTGAGGACATCTCGCTTCTCATCCAAGAAGTTTCTTCAGTTCTGACTGGATGGTGGGGAATGGAAGGATTTATATTCCTTGCAGACAGCTGGTCATTTGCATCCTTTTTAGAGGGTCGTTGAGGCGACCCTGAGGACGCAGACACAACTCCAAGTGGCCTCAACGGAATAAAGACTGGTTTTGCAACGCCATCCCTTCCCCACTTAGGCATTATTCAATTGATATTTACCATTTTGCTTCACGAGAGTAGCTAAGGCAGTGGCAGCAGCCTGGAACACTTCTTTGGAAGTAGAATAATACATCAACATAGCTAGCATCATCTCTCTGTGCGCTGGGTACCTAAGGCGAAGAGAACAATCGAGTTATTTCCCCGGAAACTCCCTATGATTCTATTATTTGAGCAGGAATGAAAATGAATATAAAAATATTTTTTTATTAAAAAAAATTTTTATTAAAGTTTTTTTTTTTAACTATTTATTTATTTTTTACAATTTTCTTCTGGAACAACTTTTCCACCTCGGTATACATCCTTTGTAAATGTACTTGTCCCCCCCTTTATTTCAGTTTCTCTATGTCTACACATACGATGCTATTATATACATTTCTTAATTTACAATCCTTCATTCCATTTATACATGTTGGTTCATCTCTATCTGTTCTGACCCCCTCGTCCGTCCAGTAACGAAAGCCAAGACAAGCTTAATTAGAATGTCCTTTAATAACAAGACCAGAATCTCGGTGGCTGAAAGCCAAGCAAACAAACAGATAGCAATAGCAATAGCAGTTAGACTTATATACCACTTCATAGGGCTTTCAGCCCTCACTAAGCGGTTTACAGAGTCAGCATATTGCCCCCACAGTCTGGGTCCTCATTTTACCCACCTCGGAAGGATGGAAGGCTGAGTCAGCCTTGAGCCGGTGAGATTTGAACCGCCGAACTGCAGATAGCAGTCAACTGAAGTGGTTGCAGTACTGCACTCTAACTACTGCGCCACCTCGGCTCTAGATAAGGACCTTGGCAGCAAGTCCGACAAACCTTGGCAGCAATTCAGACAAACCTTGGCAGCAATTCAGACAAACCTTGGCAGCAATTC